CCCAGCGTTTTGGTAGGTTGAGGCAGGAGGATTGCTTGAGGCCAGGTTCAAGATCAACCTGAGTAACAGCAAAACCCTGTCTCTACAATATATATATGTATACAGTGTGTGTGTGTGTGTGTGTACACATATTTTTAATTAGCCAGGTGTGGTAGCATACACTTGGATGCATGCTACTCAGGAGACTGAGGCAGGAGGATAGCTTAAGCCCAGGAGTTTGAAGTTACAGTGAGCTATAATGATGCCACTATTCTCCAGCCTGGGCAAAAGAGCAAGACTCTGTCTAAATAAATAAATGTTCTGAAGCTAAAACTTTCTTTGACTGTCCTGAGCTCAATGCCCTTCCCACATATAACCATTGCTGCCAGTATGGTACATTTCCTTCCAGATTTGTTTCATTTATATTTGTACTCAAATATTGATTGAAAATACAAAGTATTGTTTTGTAGCTTTTTTTTTTTTTTTTTTTTTTGCGACATAGTTTCACTTTAGTCACCCAGGCTGGGGTGCAGTGGCATGATCTCAGCTCAGTGCAACCTCTGCCTCCTGGGTTCAAGCAATTCTCCTTCCTCAGCCTCCTGAGAAGCTGGGATTACAGGCGCCTGCCACCATGCCTGGCTAATTTTTGTATTTTTAGTAGAGATGTTGTTTTACCACATTGGCCAAGCTGGTCTCGAACTCCTGACCTCAGGTGACCTGCCTGCCTCAGCCTCCCAAAGTGCTGAGATTACAGGCGTGAGCCACCATGCCTGGACTGCTTTGTAGCTTTTTTGTTAACCAACAATATCATGCTATAGGTGACATTCTGCAGCCCCTGATTCCAATGCTAGCCTGAAGTGCATTTGGGATTTGTTTCCTCATCTGTCAAATGAGGTGACAACAGTACCTGGCATATAGGATTGCAGAATGAAGTGACACAAGGCATGAAAGATGCTTGGAGAAGGGCTTGGCACAGAGTAAGCTCCGATTTTTTGTTGTTGATGTTTTCATTTAAGCACGTCTTGAAAACCTACACAGCTCAGCACAGTATACACAGCCTTCCTGAACTGTGTTGGAAATGTGCTTCCAGTGTATTTGCAATCTGCACATTCTATTTGGTGCCTCAGTCTCTTCCTTTCAGGTCAGCACACGGATCCAACTGTTTATTCCTGTGCTGAGAAAATGATGTGTTTCTAATATATTTTTTTCCTGATAGTTTCTAACATTTCTCTATAGCTCACTTTCTTTAAATGGACTTGGCTATTACTGTGCTCTTATCCTTTCACAGAGTTCAGAATAAACTTATAATGATACAAAATTTCAAAACAAATACATCAGAAAAACACTGCCCTGTGGTAATTTATTTCGCTTCTCTCCTATTGATGGACTTTCAGGTTGTTTCCAATTTTGTGCCCTTGTCACAAATGTGCCCAATCATATTATTTTTTTTTTTTTTTAGACAGAGTCTCCTCTGTTGCCCAGGCCGAAGTGCAGCGTCACAATCTTGGCTCACTGCAGCCTTTGCCTCCTGGGTCAAGCGATTCTTTCTCCTGCCTCAGCCTCTCAAATGGCTGGGACTGCAGGCACCCACCACCATGCCTGGCAAATTTTTTGTATTTTTAGTAGAGACAGGGTTTTACCATGTTGGTCAGGCTGGTCTCAAACTCCTGATCTCCAGCGATCTTCCCACCTAAGCCTCCCAAAGTGTTGGGATTTCAGGGGTGAGCCACTGCACCTGGCCTCCAACCAATTTTTTATAAAGGTGCAAAATCCCATCAATGGAGGAAAGAGAATCTTTCAACCCATGGATGCCTACTGGAGGAACTGGACACCCATCCAAAAAAAATGAACCTCAACCTTGGTCTCACATCTTACATGAAAATTGACTCAGAATGGGTCACAAACTTGAATGTAAAGCATAAAACTATACAACTTTTAGAAAAAAATAGGAGGAAATCTTCAGGGCATAGAGCTAGGCAAAGTGTTCTTAGACTCAATACAAAAAGCATAATCCATAAAAGAAAATGTTGATAAATTGGGCCTCATCAAAATTTAGAATGTTAGACTGGGAGAAAACATTTGCAAACTGCATAACTGACAAAGTACTAGTTACTAGAATATATAAAGAACTCACAGCAGTAAAATACGGCCAATCAGTCCAACAAGGAAATGGGCAAAACACATGAAGAGACATTTCAGTGGAGAGGTGTACAGACAGCAAACAAGCATAAGATGTCCAACATCACCAGCTATTGGGGAAACGTGAACGAAAACTACAAATGATATGTCACTACACGCCTATCAGAATGGCTAAAATTAAAAACAGTGGCAACATCAAATGATGATGAGGATGTGGAGAAAGGGATTGCTGACACATTGCTGGTGGGTATGTCAAATGTTACAGCCACTCTGGAAAACAGTTTGGCAGTTTCTTAAAACACGAAATATGCAACTCTAATACTACCTAGTGATTGCACTTTTGGGCATTTATCCCACAGAAATGAAGACTCAAGTTCACACAAAAAACTGTAAATGAAAGTTGATCGTAGCTTGACTTAAAACAGACCAAAACTGGAAGATACACTTCACTGCGTATGTGGTTGAACACACTACGGTGCGTCCATACCATCAACAGTACTCAGCAATAAAAAGGAAAAAACTATTGATAAGCAACCTGGATGAACTGCCAAGGAATTAGCCTGAGTGGAAAAAAAGCTAATCCTAATAAATTACATAGTACATGATTTCATTTAAATCACCTCCTAGAAATGAAAAAGTCATAGAAACAAATAACAGATTAGCCATTGAGAGGGAGTAAGGAGTGCTGGGTGTGAGGGAAGTGGGCGTGGCTGGGAAAGGGCCACATGATCTTTGTGATGATGGAAGTGCTTTGTATCTCAGCTGTGTCTGTGTCGATATGCTGAATGTGAGATTGTACCACAGTTTTGTAAGATGTTACCTTTGGGGAAAATTAGGTAAAGGGTACAGGGGTATCTCTGGATTATTTATTCTGACTACATGTGAATCTATAACTAACTCAAAATGGAAAGTTTAATTAAAAGGAGAGTTTGTCCATCTGACAGGTAAAGCATAGCATCTCTTGGTTTCAATGTATAATGAGGTTGAGCACTTGGGACACTGTCACTCAGAAGTGTTTGATTATGTGGTAATCAAATTATGAGACTTCAGGATGGGCGTGGTGGCTCACACCTGTAATCCCAGCACTTTGGGAGGCCAAGGCAAGTGGATCACCTGAGGTCAGGAAATCGAGACCAGCCTGGCCAACAGGTGAAATCCCCTCTACTAAAAACACAAAAATTAGCCAGGTATGGTGGCAGGCACCTGTTATCCCAGCTACTGGGGAGGCTGAGGCAAGAGAATCACTTGAACCCAGGAGTCAGAGGTTGCAGTGAGCTGAGATTCCACCACTACACTCCAGCCTGGGCAACAGAACAAGGCTGCATCTTAAAAAAAAAAAGATTTCAAACTTTTCCTTTCTGCTGTGTCTATGTGTCTGTGTTTGTGTAAAAGGTCTTCTTTTCCCCAAGGTCATCAATACATTTTATATTTTCTTCTAACGTATTTATAGCATACTTTAACCCACCCCCCCCCCCCCCATTTATCTTTGTAACTGGTATGAGGTATTGTTACAACTTAATTTTTTCCTGATAACCAACTATCCCAACACTGAATCATATTTCCTTTCCTACTGACTGGAAATGACATTTCTTATAAAATACCAAATTCCTATGCATCTGTGAATTCGTGTTTGGACTTCCCATTTTGTTCAATTTGTGGAAGAAACAAAAGGAAGAAGAAAATAAACTTAACCTGAGGAATGTAAGTCCCTTTAAATGATCAGGCCCAGAGAGGCACTGGCATGAATCAGCAGTCACGTCCGTCCCCGTTGAGCTAAACAATTACCTCTTGCAGCCACTCGCTAAGGGGCTCTGGACTGAGAGAGTAGCTATAAAATGCTGGACACCTTAACTCCTACGCTGTAGTTCAACAGTGTATAGCCAATCACAAATCATCTTATCTCTGTCAACCAATGAATTCCTTCCAAACAACTTTGTCCAGCCCATTCCTGTTCCCTTTTCTTTAAAGACCTGCTTGCAGCAAAGGCTGCCAGAGCGCTCCCCACGGCAACTTGGAAGTGAGTCTCAGGCAGCTGTCCTCACTCTGACTTAACTAAACTCTCACATTATATTTGGTGCCTTGGCATCTTTCTTCCTTTCAGGTCAACACGCTGATCCAATTGTATATTCCTGTGCTAAGAAATTATGTATTTCTAACATTTTTTTTCCGAATAGTTTCTAACATAGCTTTGTACCTCACTGCTCTTTCTTTAAATGGACTTGGCTATTACTGTGCAATTATCGTTTCACAAGATTCAGAATAAACTTATCAAGATACAAAATTTCAAAACAAGTGTATCAAAAAACAAATACTATTTCTCCTCTCACACGGTCAACACTCAACACTTCACTCCAAAATATGTGGGGATGTCTCCCCACCAGCAACCAATTGCCCAGGCAAACACCAAGTGATTGCGCTGTAATTTAACTTAATCTGACACTGTCTGCCTGGAGATCCATCAGACCCCACATGTTAGGACTGAGTCCCACAAGACTGCCCCCCCATGAGATTGGCACGTCAGATGCCAATCACAAGTAGTAGGTTGTCACCTATACCTCTAACCAGTCAACTTTAAATCAGGGTTCCCACTACCCTCTTCCTTGCATTAGATTAATTTGTAATGGAACTTCCCTGCCCTCCCTGGGCTTGCCGCCCTCCAGACGCCTCCGTGTGTTTGGCAGCCAGGAAGCTCTCCAGGCCCTGTCCTTCTGGATTTCTATGGAGGCTTCCACACTGGGCATGACTGATCAAATAATTGGCCATTTGCAATCAACTCAACCTCCAGTCTCCTCTCCTCTCCTGTATTAGTCTGTTTTCACACTGCAGTAAAGAACGGCCCAAGGCTGGGTAATTTATAAACAAAAGAGGTTTCATTGACTCACGGTTCAGCATGGCTGCGGAGGCCTCAGGTAATTTACAATCATGGCAGAAGGGGAAGCAGGCACCTTCTTCACAAGCTGGCAAGAGAGAGAACGAGTGTATGTAGGAGGAAATGTCAGACACTTACAAAGCCATCAGATCTCGTGAGAACTCACTATCACGAGAACAGCAGGAGAGAAACCACCCCCATGATCCAATCACCTCCCACCAAGTCCCACCCACAATGTGGAAATTACGGGGATTACAATTAGAGATGAGATTTAGGTGGGGACAAAATTATGGAGATTACAATTAGAGATGAGATGTGGTTTGGGTGAGTCAGACCACAACACCTCCCCACAAGTGGAGGAGGTAGGGCTGAAAATGTCAACCCTTTAATCAACAGCTAACCAGCTCCCACCTGGCAGCTAGCTGGGGGCTTGCTGAAAGTCGCCTTATTAACATAAACTCAGGTGTGGTGGAAAGGGGCGTTTAGGAAATTTTTAAAGACACTCCTCTCACCTGTATGACTTTGGAGCTATTTCAGGAACCAGGGCAAAGCCCAAATATAATAACAATAGATGCTCTTTTTCCCTTTTACTACTTAGGAACTGACAAGCATTTTAGGAGCTTTGGTCAGGAGTGAAAACCAAAATATATATTTCTTCTTACATCACAGTGTCATTCTATCTTCAAATACAGTCACATTCTGTGGTAACGGAGGTTAGGACTTCAACATACAAAACTGGAGAGGACACAGTTGAGTCCATAACACGGCAACATCCTTCTGAAACTCCAAGGCCTTCCCCAGCCTGCCTGCATGTTCCAGCCCATCTCTTCTTTCCAGCTGGCCATTTCCTGGGACAAAACAAATGACCCCTCTCCTGTTCAGTCACGGGTTAATGACTCCTATCCCCCCTATTAATCATGGCGCCTCTAATGAGCTATTTGTGGGCCTGTCTTCCCTACTCTACTGTCACCTGCTTCGTCTTAGAAGCCACTTCTCTTCAGCTCCTGGGGTTCTGTGTATTAGGGGTCGCCCCTCTTTGGGTCTCTGATCTTCCATCCAAAAGAGAAAAGCGAGGCTTAGACTTGTCAAGGCTCTCAGTACTCTGCCTGCTGCAGCAGATGCCAGACATGAGTGCCAGAACAGCGTTTGCTCTGAGCATGGTTACCTGACCTTTGCCCAAAGGTGGACCAAAGTGTGAGTGTCTGCAGAGATGCAGAATCACACACAGCCGGACTGAAACTGATGGAAAAAGAAAGGGAATGTGCTATGGGTCAGGAGCACCCATGAGATGGGCCTTACCCCAGGAGAGGAGGTGCAATCATTTTTAGAATAGGCTAGAATGTTCTCATCGGACCTGTGCTGACAAGAATTGGCCTCTTCATTGTGTCAGTTTCACAGGGGAGGCAGGTTCAAGGTCACTCCTTGCACAGCTGACCTTTCCTTGAGGAACATGGACTTCTGATAATGACATCTTTTCCGTGGGCCCTGGGAAACAGAGTGGCACTTATATCCTGGTATATGGAGAAACTGCCCAATAAGTGGTACCAATGGAGCTGAGCCCAACCTGCCCTGTGGCACTGCCTCTGCCCTCTGCCCAGGCCCCTACAGCTGGCCACCATGTGGTCCTGCCTCCCCTCCACGCGGCAGCTGGGGCATCCGGTAGAACCTGAAGCATATGCTGCAGACACCAGACCCCTACCTTCAGGAAATTTCATATCAGAGTCACCTGAGCTGGGTGTGTGGCGCAGTCTGCATGAGCAGCTGGCAAAATGGGAAGGCCAGACAGTGAAGACAGCGGAAGAACAATCCCTTCCTCTGTCCTGGGCTAACTGCACTCCCTGAGATGGACAGGTCCTGTTAGTCCTCATCACCCTTCCTTCTCTTGGAGGAAGACTTTCCTTCATTCAGGTCCCTATGCCCCTTCCCAACCACCCATGTGGTTCCAGTGGGGACCACCCATCATGCCTTCCTTTCCCCTGACCATAGGCGCTAGCACTTGACCCAAGATAGGCCAAAGTTCTTCCCCGAAGGTGTTCACATTAACAAAGCGAAGAGACTCAGCTCCATCACAATGATGATGATGACGATGATGACGCTAAAAGCAGCCGTAAGGCTTAGCAATTACGAACAGTGAGCACCCACTAAATGCCGGTTCTGTTGCATCATCTTTAATCTCTCTAACAGTCATGAAGTAGATTCTGTGATTATCTCATTTTGTGCTGTGGGTCAGGAATAAGGAATCTAAGGTCAGAAAGGTTAAGGAATTTGCTCAAGTAAATGGCAGAGCCAGAATTGAAACCCAGGCCATCTAGCTGCGGAAACGTCACTCTCAGCACCTCACACGCTGTCTCTTTCCTGGCGGAACTGCCAACCTGAGGCCTGCAGAGGCTGGCAGCCATGCTCCCTACTGTGTGGGAAAGCCGCATTAAAACCAACCTGCAGAGAAGCAGATATGAGTGATGGAAATCAGAACTTGGCAACTTTTGAGTCCTTAGTTCTGCTTCCAAATTTTTCTCCTTTCCCATCTCTTGGTTTGGTTACATGAGGCAATAATCTCTCTTTAAAATTATTATTATTACTACTATTATTTGAGATGGGATCTCTCTGTCACCCAGGCTAGAATACAATGGCATGAACATGGCTCACTGGGCTTAAGTGATTCTAACCTCAAACTCCTGGGCTTAAGTGATTCTCCCACCTCCGCATCCTGAGTAGCTAGGACCACAGGTGTGCACCACCACACCTGGCTAATTAATAAAAACTTTTTTTTTTATAAAGACAGGCATCTCACCGTGTTGCCCAGGTTGGTCTGGAACTCCTGGGCTCAAGCAATTCTTCTGCCTTGGCCTCCCAAAGTGCTCAGATTAACAGGTGTGAGCCACCATGCCCAGTCAGTAAATGATCTATTTTTCCTAAGGTGGTTCAGATAGATCTGTTACTTGCATCCTGGCTTGTGACCCCATCGCCTACCGACCACCTTTCCATCACTGTGTGGTTTTCCTTTATCTTCCACCTCTCCCCACCCTGACCCCTTTCACAGGTCCACTAAATTGCTAAAGCCTCGCTCTGCCTAATATAAACCCCCTTTCTCCTGCTAAGTCTGCACAGCTGCGTCTTTCCCTCTCCTTTCATACCACTCCGGGAAGAGCTGTCTCACTTGTCACCATCTGCTCATTCCTTTGCCCGCCAGGACGCTGATGCTTATCTCCCTTGGAGGCCAATCTCTGAAGACCCAGCCCAGTGGTCTTTTCTCAGCCTTCATCCTCTTCAATCTCTTTCTCTTCTTGGTATTCCCTAAATGTATAGGCCCCCCCAAGGTTTTGGACTTGGCCCTTCACATGTTGGTACTAACTTGTCCTTCCGCAATGCCATCTGCCTCCTTGTTTAGATGTCCTTACCATGGCCCTCAGGTCTGCCCCTTGGTCCCTGACCCCTCTCCAGCCCTGACTTCACAGTGGCCCTGAACACAGCCCCACCTGGATGCTTCATCAGCACCTCAAACTCAAACTGCCCAGACAACACCTGGATATCATCAGAATAAGATGACATTGGACCCATCCCTTAGACCCTACACCAGAACACATTCCAAATGGATGAGAAACCTGTATTTGAATAGTATAAAGGAAAAATTTGAGACACAAAAACACTTTAAAGAGTTTATTTGAGGAAGAAGCAATTCATGAATTGGGGTATGCCAGATTAAAGAAAAAAAGATCAGTGTCCTGATGACATACCATCAGTAGCAAGTATTTTTAGGGTGAATACAGAAGCAAGATAAATTATTTGATGGGTGGCAGTTACAAAATTACCTTATTTGATTCATCCCATTTGAAAGTCCCTAGTTATATAATTAGAAACTTTTTGGCTGCTAATAATTGGCTGTGGTTAAGTTTTGTTTCTAACATGAGCATTTACCAGAAATGGCTAAAGTTAAGTTTCGTTTTCTTTTGCAGATTAAGCAAGGTTAAGATGACTTATGAGGCCTGACTGCTTTTGTCTACTCAGAGATTCTTCAGGCCTGGTCTCTCTCCATTTTAATTTACTTTAAGAATGGTGAACTCATACAGGCATTAGAATAAAGACAGTCTGCAAGACTGAAGACATATCACTCATCAGGAAAATGCTCTAACCGTAAACCCTCAGACACATTCTGGCTTAACCGTTAAACCAAAAACTTTTTTTTTTTTTTTTTTTGCACATTCAGGACAAAAATAATTCATTTACAAGGAGAAAAATCAGGTAGGCTTCAGATGCCCTTCCAGCAGCAATCAGTGCCAGAGCACAGGAGACGTGTCTAGAAGGAAAGGAGAATATGACCCAAACAGATTCTACCCAGCCAAGTTGGAGCTTAGGTATAAAGGCAAGAGCTCACATTTTCAGACATGAAATGACGCAGAAAATACAGCATCTGTTAACTCCTGTGAAAAATCTACTTGATGGTGAAAGCTTGTTAACTAAAGGTTGCATCAAAATAGAGTCCTGACATTCTGAATCTGTAGAGGTGGGACTGGTGGGGAGCATGGAACCCAGGAGAATACAGGAATTCTGTTAACACCCAGGAGAGGTGTGGTTTCAGATGCATAATGAAATGTTGCATACTCTGAAAAGTTGAAGTAATTTAAGCATCGAAACCAGAAGGAAGAAGACGGCAGGATAGAGGTGCATCTAAGTGTCATCTCTTATCTTTCCCAGCATGTAATCAATCAATTTCATCTTTATAGAAACTCACCTTTTTTTTTTTTTTTTTTTTGAGATATATAACTCTGTTGTCCAGGCTAGAGTGCAGTGGCGTGATCTCAGCTAGGCATGATCTCAGCTCACTGCAACCTCCACTTCCTGGGTTCAAATGATTCTCCTGCCTCAGCCTCCTGAGTAGCTAAAATTACGGGTGTGTGACATGACACCCAGGTAATTCTTTTTGTATTACAGAGATGGGGTTTCACCATGTTGGCCAGGCTGGTCTTGAACTCCTAACCTCAGGTGATCTGCCTGCCTTGGCCTCCCAAAGTGCTGGGATTACAGGCATGAGCCGCTGTGCCTGGTCAAAAACTCACGTTTTAAAAAACCCATGCAAAAAAACAATGCAAAAACTAACAGATGCTGGTGAAGTTGTGGAGAAAAGGGACAACTTATACACTCCAAGTGGGAATGTAAATTAGTTCAGCCATTGTGGAAAGTAGTGTGGCAATTCCTCAAAGAACTTAAAAAAGAATTACCATCTGACCCAGCAATCTCACTGTTGGGTATACACCCAAAGGAATATAAATTGTTCTACTGCAAAGTCACATGCATGTAAACGTTCATCACAATACTAGTCACAATAGCAAAGATATAGAATCAACCTAAATGCCCAACGGTAGACTGGATAAAGAAAATATGGTATACTTATACCATGGAATACTATGCAGCTATAAAAAAGAATGAAATCATGCCCTTTGCAGCAACATGGATGGAGCTGGAGGCCATCATCCTAAGCAAATTAACACAGGGACAGAAAACCAGATGCCACACTTCTCATTTATAAGTGGGAGCTAAATGTTGAGTACATTTGACACAAAGAAAGGAATGACAGACACTCGGGTCTCCTTGAGGGTGGAGGGTGGGAGAATTAGGAACGAAAACTACCTATTGGGCACCATGCTTATTACCTAGGTGATGAAAGAATCTGCATACCAAACCTGTATGACAAACAATTTACCTATATAAAAACCCGCACATGTACCCCTCAACCTGAAATAAAAGTTAATAAATAAAAAATAAAAACCCCATAGTGAGTCCAATTTCATAAATTCCCTCAAATTTAGTACCACCTTCTAGGAATTTATTTCCTTTGTAGGAAGAAACAAGGGTCTGAAGTACAGTTTGACCTAAGCTTTTGTTCCTGTTAAATTCTTTTAAAATTAAATGTAG